TAGGGTTCAATATTGAGTTGGCCCACCCTTTGCAGCTACAACAGCTTCAACTCTTCTGGGAAGGCGTCCACAAGGTTTAGGAGTGTATCTATGGGAATGTTTGACCATTCTTCCAGAAGCGCATTTGTGAGGTCAGATACTGATGTGGGACGAGAAGTCTCCAATCTAATTCATCCCAAAGCTGTTCTATCGGGTTGAGGTCAGGACTCTGTGCAGGCCAGTCAAGTTCCTTCACCCCAAACTCGCTCATCCATATCTTTATGGACCTTGCTTTGTGCACTAGTGCGCAGTCATGTTGGAACAGGAAGGGGCCATCCCCAAACTGTTCCCACAAAGTTGGGAGCATGAAATTGTCCAAAATGTCTTGGTATGCTGATGCCTTAAGAGTTCCCTTCACTGGAACTTAGGGGCCATCCCAACCCCTGAAAAACAACCTCACACCATAATCCCCTGTCCACCAAACTTTACACTTGGCACAATGCAGTCAGGCAAGTACCGTTCTCCTGGCAACCACCAAACCCAGACATGTCCATTGGATTGCCAGACAGAGAAGCGTTATTCATCATTCCAGAGAACACATCTTCACTTCTCTAGAGTCCAGTGGCAGCGTGCTTTACACCACTGCATCCGACGCTTTGCATTGCACTTGCTGATGTAGGGCTTGGATACAGCTGCTTGGCAATGGAAACGCATTCCATGAAGCTCTCTACACACTGTTGTTGTGCCAATCTGAAGGCCACACGAAGTTTGGAGGTCTGTAGCTATTGACTCTGCAGACAGTTGGTGACTTCTGTGCATTGTGCGCTTCAGCATGCGCTGACCCCGCTCTGTCATTTCACGTTGCCTACCACTTTGTGGCTGAGTTGCTGTTGTTCCCAATTGCTTCCACTTTGTTATAATACCACTAACAATTGACCGTGGAATATTTAGTAGCAAGGAAATTTCACAGGACACCTGAATCCAATGATTTGGAGGGGTGTCCCAGTACTTTTGGCATTATAGTGTAAATGAAGACATTACAGTTAGTTTAACACAATTCAAGATAAGATGGTCCGGAGGGTCCTGTCCGTGAGAGCTTGCATCATTACACAAGAATTTATTTCAAGTTACTAAAATATGCAATCATGAAGGAAATAATGAGACACTAAGAGCGCAAATCCGGAATTGTAAATTATGTGATTTTGGATATATGTAGCTCGGAGATATTTCTATCTTCGAGCTTGAAAAAGAGGATTTCCTCTCCTCGAAACGCGTTGCTCACTGGACACGGCCCCGTGCACTCCCCTTCCTAACCTACTGTCACTTCCACTCCAACACATCCAGAAGAAATACTAAATGAAGACCAGAGGCAGCTTCCACACTAGCCCTTCGGCACACAGAACATCCAATCTGCCCTCTACCTTAGTCCTTGACCCCCGAGCTCACTACCACAACCTATGACACCATTCCCAGCCGCCACGAACAACCCCTAAAGAAAGTCCTATTTCACCCCTACTCTGCCAATTGGGGACCACTGGAAATTGAACAAAATGTATCCAACACTCCCTGCAGTTCCAGAATCCTCACTGCGCCCGGATCCCTGACACCACAAGTAAGTTCTTCATTAAAAAAAAAAACATTTTTACATATATCCAAAATCACATAATTTACAATTCCGGATTTGTGCTCTTAGTATCTCATTATTACGTTCACAGGGTTCTCCTCCTGTTTTTTGAGCAGCAATCCACACCATTTGCATCCACGCACGCCCTGCACCTTTAAAAGAGCGCTGTGTAATTTTCTTGTTGTAATCATGAAGGAAAGCTGCCATTAAGCTTTTGGTAGTTTATGATAAATGTAAGTTCCATATCAATACTTTCCCCCTTGCTTGGATCAGAAGGGGATATAAAATCATTTTAACCAATCTGTTGTGTTTCTATGCTGTATGGTGTGAAATTTTATGTTGGGTTCAAAAACAAGTGCTCGATGCTAAGCTGGAGGCAGACTATCTAAATGCCGCTCCTCCGCTCCCACCTCCCCCACCCTATGCAAAATGGGAAAAAAAATTGCGGGCATTTGTTTATTTTTTTCAATCTGCAAGCTCCCCATGGTCTAGAAATGTCTAGTGCGTAACAAACTAGTTCAGATTGAAAGGAGACAGGGATCTCATATTGCAAATTCCTTCTATTTTACAGGAACTTAGTAAGTAAATAAGTCCATTATCAGGCAGCATTATTATTGAGCCTGCAATCGGCATGGACAGACAACATACAGCAGTATACAACATACATAAGGTCTGGGCTAATAAATGTGCAAAGGAAATAATAATATCAACTTTAATTTTTCTATTAATAGTCAATATACTGTGTATGAAAATTGTTCAACACCTTGAAGAACCTGATAAAAGAATTACATTTTTTTCAATAATGAGTCCAGATCAAACAAATATACATTGCAAAGCAAATATTTCTTTATATTTTCACCCAAGCACCTAAAGTCATCATGTTTCTGAACAGCTCCAACTCTCCTGAACTTCCTGATAAGTACAAGGTCACTTTTAAAATACACATTATTGTATCTTTTGCAATAACTCCTGCAGTATACATTTTTGGTCAGTAGATGGCAGTGTTTATAAGTTCTGTTATATCTATGATATATACTCTGTTGTATTAAATAAGGTAGAGAATAAAGCTGTGGCTTCCTTCCTGTTTTCCAAGCCATGTGCAGCAAGCATGCATATCTGACTGTGTGCTTGTGTTTCTCTGTGAGGCTGTGCAACAGTCACAA